AGAATCCCCAGTGAGGGGCTGGGGGCGTGGCTCAGGGTAGAGAGCCTAGAATCCCCAGTGAGGGGCTGGGGGCGTGGCTCAGGGGTAGAGTGACAGCCCAGGTTCCCCCAGTGAGGGACTGAAAGCTCGGTCCAAAACATCCTCAACCCATTCTATAAGTGAAAAGACCAAGGCTCATGGACAGCAAGGTGCCAGGGACAGGCTGGCTTTTGTCTCTGATGGGGTGGGGAAGTCATGTAGATTATGGCTCCTGTCCTCCAGGGAGGGTGTAGCTGTGGCCTATGGTTTGACAGCTAAGCATCAAGTTAAGGGGATCTCCTGGGTAGACAACAGGGTGAGTAACCTCAGAGACAGGATGGAAGAGGTCAAAGGGCTTGGATAGGTGCACCTGGGTGGGAGATGCTGGGAGTCACAGATGGTGAGAGACAGGGACCCCTGAGGCTGACATTCTGTATCCATAGTCATGTGCCCTTTCTGTGACTCTGAGCCCCATTTTGGTGGTCGTTATTGTGTGACATGGAGCCAGCACTTGAAACCCTTTGCTCAGGGGCTCAGGGCCACTATAAGGTTCGGGTGTTGAACATTCACAGCTCACTCTATCCAGGGCTGGCCTTGTTGTCAGATACCAGTGACATCCCAAAATAAGGGTCCTATTTGCATAGCAAGTTGGAACTGAGTCCTAGAGCCCCCAGATTAGAATGTCCATGATCCCCTGCCATTGAATACTGCTTGGTTGAGCACTGCTTGGCCAACACTGGCACACACAGCCCAGGGAGTGGGGGCAGGCAGGTGACTGGGTATAAGACCCCAGCCTTGATTCTACATTTGTCCACATAGATTCTGGGCCATTATGCAGTCACAGGGGACAGCTGTAGGAGGACAGGAGATGACAGCCCTGGGTGGCCAAGGCTGTGTGCATACAGGGACAGCTGGGCTCACTGGATGACCAGTCTCCACCCTCAACCCTCCACCCTTGACAGCTCTTCCTCACAGTGGGTCTCTGGTCCCTTCATCCCACAGTGGCTACTGAATGACCAAAAGCCATGGAGGCCACTGCCCCACCCACCCAGAACTAGGGAAAGATGGCCCCCTCTGCCTGGTAGAGGGTGACACCTATCCTTGCAATTCCAATCACCCACATCCTTCTCTGTATGGAAGGTCTAGAGGCAAAAGAGCTGTACCCCAAGTTCTCAGAACCTGGCTGATCCCCGGCTCTCACCAGGGAGCTAGGAGTAGGTCACTGTGGAGAGAAAGTTGGGGGCCACAGCTAATGGGTTGTGGGTGTGCCCTGGGGCTGGGCACTGCCCACCACCCTCCTTGCCCGCCCCAGTAGCTCAAGGGCCAATGAGCAGCGGCTGGCCTGATGTCACCCTGCGAATCTCAGCTCCGCTTTTCTAACAAAGGGAACAATGGGTGGACAACAGAGGCACTCCTGAACTCTACACTGTTGCTGCCGGGACCCCAGACCCGCCGTACCCTGGATTCCCTACACCCTACACTTGTTGGGCATCCCAATGTCAAGGAAAAGCTGGGGGGGTGCACCCACAAGAGCTTTTGCCAGAGGCATTTTCTTAAACCCCAGATTCCCCATCTCAGGGTACATATAGCCCCAGAGCATCCCTGGCTGGACCACCCCAAACTGGAAAGCTGGGGAGCACCCTCTAAACTGCTAGTCTTCCCACCTGACTCCTAAGGGCATCCTCCCTGGGGCACCCCAAGATCTGCTCTAGTCCGGCCCCAAGTCCATGGTGAGGGGTGGAGCACTGACAGCCCAGCCCAGGCTGCTGCTGAGGGGCCTGTGTCTTAGGGTGACCCCAGCAGGATGCGTGGCAGGTGGCAGAGGTCGGGCTGTGCCCACATTTCTGCAGGGAACACTAGCTTTGGACAAAGGAGCTTACCGAAGCCCACAGCCCACGTGGGGCGTGTCCCGTCCACATCACCGCAGGGTTGGAGTGAGCCTGTCCCCGCAAAATGCACGCATATAGGAGCGCTTCATGTGCCCTCCGGAACCGGCAGCCCCATCCACCCCCGGGGGCTGCAGTCACTCACCCTGACGACCCACGATCTCAGCCACATGCTCCGAGCTGGGCACCGGGACACACTCGGTCATATTCACACTCTTCTTGCGACTGCCGATCACATTCAGCTGCTCAGGCAACAGCGGCGGGGGACCCAGGGTGGCAGGGTGCGGCGCAAAGCTGGCGAACACGTCCGGGGGTGACGGCCGGGGACTCACGTCGGGGTCCAAGAGAGGCAGCGTGCCGGGGGCCACCGAGGGGGCCACGGCCATCGTGGGTGCCATGGTCACTGACGGTGCACTGGTCACGGAGGATCCCACAGCCATCGAGGGTGCACAAGTCACTGGGGTTCCCAGGGCTATCGAGGGTCCACCGGTCCCCAAAGGTGGCACAGTCATGGAGGGCGCACAAGTCACCGAGGGCGAACTGGTCACAGGGGTTCCTATGGCCATCGAGGGCGCAGAAGTCATTGAGGGTGCACCGGTCACTGGGGTTCCCACGGCCATCGAGGGTGCACCGGTCCCCAAAGGTGCCAGAGTCATCAGGGGTGCACCGGCCACCGGGGTTCCCACGGCCATCGAAGGTGCACTGGAACCCAAAGGTGCCAGAGTCATCGGGGGCGCACCGGTCACTGGGTTTCCCATGGCCATCGAGGGCGCACAAGTCATCGGGGGTGCACCGGCCACCGGGGGCGCACCGGTCCCCAAAGGTGCCACAGCCACCGGGGACGGCCTGACCGCATCGAGCCGGTCTGGGGGCGCTGTCCTGTCCTCCTCGCGCTCCGCCGCGGTGCACTCACCCTCTCCGCGGTGCGCGCCCCCCAACCTGAGCGCGGACAGCTGGTCCAGCGCCAGGCGCAGCGCGGCGGCCGCGTCGTCGGGTTCGGGTGGCGGCTGGGGAGCAGTATCTTCCGCTCCTGAGAGCGCCGGGTGTGGAGGCCCGGGGTCCCCCGCGCTGCTCGCGACAACCGCGCACTCCGAGTCCGGCTGCTCGGTGGGGCTGGGCATAGCTTTCAGCGCTCGGGCCCGCGCCGCCGCCGCCCGCGCCGCCCTCCGCGTCTGCGAACTGAGCCGCCGGCC